GGTTTGTAGCTTTGTGAGTGGATGCTTTACTTGGAATTTGGGCCTAGCTACTAGGTTTTGGGAAGAAAAAGGCTCCGTTCATGCCTGTTCACACACAGAGCTCCGCAAGTATGTGTATATGTAGGGGGCACATTTGGCACTCCTCCATGCAGCGAAACAGTTTCTTCAGGTCCCATCATTTCACCCAAAAGAGATAAACAAGTGTATTCGCGTCGTGTCACGTCCGACGCGTGCACAAGTGTGAAATTAGTCTGACAAGCTATATTAGAGGATATAAATTTATTTACCCTTGGAAATGCATTTTTAATAGAGTGTCACATCATAAATAAACTTTCTGCAGTGGTTTGGGGCCGATTGGATGTCTGGTGGTAGGATGGCGCAAGGAATCGAAGCTGAGATGGGTGTGTTTGCATCTCGGCTATGTGCCAAACAAAATGACAGATCACGTGGACTAACTTGGTCGCTTTCAGTCTAAGAGCTTAGAGCCTGTTCGGATGGCAAAAGCAAAAGTGCTTCTCTACTATATAAGGAAATGTGCTTTTATTCCAAAGTCCAGACCTGTGTCACATCATAGCCCATCAATCTCCATCAACCACAGCTTGAAACTCTTGTCGCTGTTGCGGCGATTGCTCCGGGAGACTGCGGACGACGACGGGGGACATTCTTGGAAGACTTACAGCCATTTTCCTTCAGGTAATCTATGGTAGGGGCTATTGAAACCCATTACAAAAGAAAGCAACATTTTTTGCAGCATATAGGGGCAGGTAGGTGGTCAACACAACAAAGCGCCGTGCCGCTGCTCATCCCGACACGATCCCGACACGTCGGCGGCGACGTTGCGGCGACGCGGCGTTGTGGGAGCGCAGCGCGGCAGTTTGCTAATGGGATCTTTTGGACCTCTGATGTGACGGGTCTGGACTTTGGAATAAAAGCATATTTCCTTATATAGTAGAAAAGCACTTTTGCTTTTGCCATCCGAACAGGCTCTTAGCTTCGGTCGCTCGGTCATATTCGGTCTTCCGATCGACCCTAGAAATAGGGAATGAAGCATATAACATGGTGCGAGCTAGCGAGGGACGAACAAAGCGAGGTGCGGGGATGCAAGACCGCAGTGAGACGGCGCGTGACGGTCTAGATTACTGATTGGATTATAATTACGCCGTCGATAGCTCAATAATGACCACAATGGGCAACAGAAATTAGACGAGAGAAAATATAGGGCACCAGATCTTTCCTGGAGGCCGTTCTCACTGTACGTCCAAATTCAAATAGAAGTGCCAAGATTATTTGCCGTAAGAATGCCAAGGGAATTCCCACGTTACACAAATCGTCATCGGCCAAAATGATGAATTTCTGGTGTAAAAGATTGGAAAAGAACGAGTCTAAAAATAAATTTTTAGGACTCGTAATCATTAGGCTTGGGGTGCCTGTTTGAGCACTCTGCCGAAGGGATTCGTCGTCTATCGCCGCTCGGCATACGTCAGCGGTTCCGTGGATGCCGATTGGGAGTTCGCAGAGTTCGAGATGCCGAAAGGAAGAGCCCGAACTTCCAATCGTTTAAATACAGCAGCGGAAGGAAGGAGGCTTAGACCTCCAATCCAATCTGCTTCCTCGAAATGTCCGCCCCGCAAATGCAATACGGTTCGCCTTCATTGAATGCGCAAATAACCCTGCAGCTGACCGCGGGCACCTCCATCTCCAGTGCGTCTCGGCCAATCAGGCCTGAAAATCTCGAAAATTATCCTCGGGTGCATGACCTACGGGCATCCCGAGTGGTCCGGCAACTGGGTCCTCGCGGAGGAGGAGGCCTCGAAGCACATCAAGGCTGCGTGCGTCATTATGCCCATTCTTTGCTGTTCTTCTTTTTCACTGCGTCGACTCCAGTTATGACTACGGCATCAATGCGTTTGACACGGCTAATGTATGCATGCCATTGGAATGTGGAGGGAATTCGAACTGAAACACACTTGAACTAGGTATACTCTAATGGAATTTCTGAGGAAATCCTTGGGCGCTCGATCAAGAAGCACCGACTGCCGCGCGACGAAATCGTCGTGATGACCAAGCTGTGCGGTGCCGTCTCGCGCAACCCGAAGGAAGCACTATATGGGCGCACGGATCTGGACAGCAGCGGCTATGCGAATCAGTACGGGCTGAGCCGCAAGGTATTTATTTGCTTGGTCCGCGAATTTCTGTGCACTGACGCCCTGTGGAACTTACTTAGCATATCTTCGACTCTGTGAAGCACAGCCTGCGGCGCCTGGACCTCGAGTATATCGATCTGCTGCAGTGTGAGTTTATTCTCCAGTGTTATTTGGCTCTTTCACTCATCGGACTAGGCCATCGATTTGACCCCAATACGCCGATTTCGGAAACGGCGCGTCCATTTCCCATTTTTACGCGCCGATTTCAAGAACTCAACTCATATCTCAATAGATGCAAGCCCTCCACGACGTCGTCAAGGCCGGATACGTTCGCTACATCGGGATGTCCTCTTGTTATGCCTATCAATGTGAGTGCAATGTTATTATTGAGCGGAGGTGCGTTCGCCGATACTGATCATTGCGTGTCTACTCGCCCAGTCCACGCTATGCAGAGTATGATTTATATTATTCTGTGTGGGCTCTAATGCCGACCGAATTTAGACTACGCTATCAACAACGGCTTGACGCCCTTCATATCCATGCAGAACCAGTACTCGCTCGTCTACCGCGAAGAGGAGCGGGAGATGATGCCGTTGTTGGACGTGGGTCTAGAGACGATTATATTGTTCCTCATAGCTGATTGGCATAATAAACAGATGTTTGGTGTCGGTTCCATCCCATGGTCGCCGCTTGCCCGTGGCGCGCTTTCGCGTCCCCTCGCGAAGCAGACGGATACGAGCCGCGGGAGCTCCGACGTGTGCGTCCATGTCCTCGCAGAGCTCCAGCCCTGACTCACGGAATACATTCCCAGGCTGCCGTCCACCTTCTATGTCTCTTCTGACGCGAACAAGGAGGTGGTGAGAAGGCGAGAATCTCAATAGCCATGTAATGCGCCGCTGCTGATACTTACTCATAGAGTCGAACAAGTCGCGGTGAAACGCGGCATCAGCATGGCGCAGGTTTCCGTCGCGTGGGTTTTGTCTAAGAAAAGTCGGTATTTTTATCTTTATTTTTCTGGTTCGTTGCGCATTGGCACTCACAACGGAACCAGCTGTCTCCGCACCGATTGTCGGCACCTCCTCGCTTGAGAATCTCAAGGATATAGTTGGCGAGTTCTTCCTAAACTTTTTTTCGAGAAACCTGGACGAGTCTGAGATATTTATTTCTCTTTCAGGCGCAATTGATGTAAAACTCACCGAGGAAGAGATCAAGCTCTTGGAGGAGCCTTACCAGCCCATGTCGATCTTTGGGCATTAGATGAGGCGTTGTCCGGTACATACAAAGTCGGCTGCAGTTTGGATTGAACGGGAACCTGTGGAAGGCTTGCAACGTGTATCACCCAGTTCAATTTGACCTCAAGTGTTGGTAGAAGTTGTTTAGGTCTGAAATGCAATGACCTGGTGGTGTAGTGGTTAACATACCTACATAGTGTAAGACTACCATGTTGATATACGGGAGATCTCTGTTCAATTCAGGGCTGAGCCATTCTTTTTTCGTTCCATCAGATTCGTTTTTTGATCCAGCCAAGTGTGGGTTGAAGTCCATTTAGATTAAAAAAGAATAGGGTCTTGTAATGTAATGGGTAACATGCCTGCATATTGTGGACCCCAGCAAAAATGGTTTACGGGAGCTCCCTGTTCAACTAACGAAGTGTGGGTTGAAGTTCATCTGGTTTGGGGATAAAATATGCCCTAGTGGTGTAGTGGGTGACTTCCCGTAAGATAAATATATTCTAGGCTCGAGTCCAGCCTGTTTGTGTCTATCGACAGAATTCATAGACAGACGGTCACCGGTCTAGGAGGAGGGTCATGCATTGATAGGAGAAAGACAGCGCCTTCGGTGGTAGGTGAGCGAGAAGTTTGCAAGGTGTCGATCCCGTGCTGGGCCAGTGTTAAACTGGGGGCGAATATATAGCTCGGAGAGCAAAAGAAGCACATGTACACCCGCGATTGAGCATGCAACTGGTGGGTATGTGCGGAATCCCAGATGCGCGGCTTGAGTGCGCCTCAAGGTGCATAGTCAGGAGCAATGGATATGCAGAGCTGCGTTAAAGACGGTGTCAGTGATACAGATGAAGGGCCGAGATCAAGCGCACCGTCAACCCCCGCTGCACCCAAAAACGCGGTACATGGCACGCCCACCTTACGCCCACGCCAAGGTTTCCACATTGCCCTGCACATGCCCACCGCCCGCGTCCCTCCTGCCTTCGACCGTCGTGCCCCTGTCCCTCTCTCGAATGTCTTGTACTCCGTCCATTCAAATCACATCCCCCATCCCCGCCCCGCCCCCTGCCGCACGCCTACTGTGTCCGATGCCCTGCACAGGAGGACCATCCCCTACATGCTCTCCTGCCCGCCCGCCCCCCCTCGGCAGTTGCGTCCCCCCCTTCCTTTGAACATCGCTTGGTTGAATGAGGCTGAGGTGAAGCATTAGTGGTGCAGTGAGCCATCAGTGGAATTCTCAATATTTGTGGACCGGTTCGGATGTTGAGACCTTGTGGGTCCCGTTCCAGGATGCGGGATAGGAGGTTGGGACGCGTCATTTACGTGTTGTTTGAGTACTCATTCAAAATGTTTATGAATGCTCTTATGGGAAACCAGCAAACTCAGCATACTTGATTTAACTGTCGGTTGCCATTATTTGGCACCCCTCCGATTGCCCTGTGGAATAAATCTATCTTATGGGAAGTCACCCAGTAGTAACATGATTTGCTTACTGTATTTTCAGTATCTCTAGCAGCTTTGTAGGAGATTCCTGTTTGAGTCAGGGCTATTTGGCCATTCTTTTTTTCCCTGGAATTGTATTTTGAACCACTCATGTTTGCATGAAAGTTCATTTGATTTTGGAGGGGAACTAGACCTGGTGGTGTAATGGTTAGCATACCGGCATGTTGTCTGTTGATAGTCCATACCTATGCAGGAGATCCCTGTTCGACTCGGGGTTGGGTCATAATTTTTTTCTGTCATTGTATTTCGAATCACTGAAGTGTCAGTGGAGATTCATTTGGCTTTAGAAAGTGAAATGATTTGGTAGTGTAGTGGTTGCGCCTGCGTATTATTCTAGTTTCTAGCGTGTATTGCGGGAGATCCCTGTTCAACTCAGGGCTGGGCCTGGGTCATTATTGCATTTTTTCTGTTTTAAAATACATTTTAATTTTTATTCCATCCAGGTTTGTGTGAAAGTTCATTTGGCTTTGGAACAAAATGTGATCTGATGGTGTAGTGGAAACATACCTGTATATTGTACCTGTTTTTGCCTCATGTTTATGCGGGAGATTCCGGTTCGACTCAGGGCTAGGTCATTAGTATTGTTTTTTCTCTCAAAATGTATTTCATTCCACCCGAAGTTTGCGTAAAGGTTCATTTGTCTCTCCAGGGAAGTACAACCTGGTGGTGTATGCTTGCATGTTGTAACCTGTGTGTAAAAATGTTTGCAGAAGATCCCCGTTTGACTCAGGGCTGTCATTATTTTTTGCAGAAAGAACGTGAACCCAGAAGTATACGGAAGGCGAGAGACTTTGGTATATCTGGTAGACCTCGTATACTTTCGGGAACTGCCGGTATACCTCACTTTCCTCGTCAAAAGCTGAGCCAAACAGCCAGTTTTTTTGTTTGTTTATTGCAGTAATTGTCACGGTACAAAATTTTGTTAGCTACTAGGGTGTTGCGCTGAGGCATGCACTCGCTTTCGAGGAGTTAGGGCGCGCTATAAGCCGTGTCGTCACACTACACGTGGTTAGGGTTAGGTGAGGATCAATAGAAAGCGGGAACCGATATGTTACCGAGAGGCTAGGGACCACTGGGGCGATGGCCGGCGATGGATGTGGGTGCGGGATGAACAGGTCAGCCTCCCTGTCACACAATATAGAAAAATATGGATTCTGTGACGGAACAAATAAAAACTACCATCACGTCTATTTGAGTATACGACGTATATCCACAGGTATACAAGGTATACTAAGTCTCTCATATACTTTCGTATACTTCTGGATTCACGTATGTTCTCCTTTTTTGTGGGATTGGTATTTGATTCCACCCGAAGTTGTAGCACAGGTTATATGGGCTTGGAGGGAAATATGACCCAGTGGTGTAGTGGCTAACACGATTGCATACTGTTCCGTCAGGGGTTCTAGGTATGCTGTGACTCATTTTTTCTATTTATTGGAATTGGAATTTGCATGGAACTTTTACTTTTTGATTTGGAAATAACACGGTGCAAATCACGGCGAATAAGATGGTGAAGACTCTGACAGTTCGTCATCATATCATCTGCTTCTACCGCCCACTCCGCAGCACATGAGCATGCGGTATTAATATTCGAGACTATCGTCTCCGAGTCAAAAATGATCTGACCGTTCAGAGATATCGGATGACCGCATATGCGGCATGCCGCGTCCAGACGGCGTTTGGAGGACCAGATATTTATGGGTTTGTTCCGCACTCGTGGTGATAGCACGGTAATTCTACCCGGGGCACGTACACGGGGTGTATTTGAACCAGGTCTCTGGCAACTTGAGGCAGTCGCTGTCAGAGGAATTCCGGTTCAACACTTGCCGCTTGTTCTGGGCCAGGGTTATAGTGAACCGGAATAAGAACGGAATTCCTGCGCGACGTAATTACGAGAACATCGAAAACGATAACAATCAAAGAGAGAAGGGAAGCGAACTCCAAGCGAGTTAGCAAGAATTTGGCAGCAATATCGGTAGGTAGGTAGTATTACACGGTACGGTCCAACTCATGAACTCCGGTTTCCAGGAAGTATCCCAGCATACAGGCACTAAGTATACTATCGGAACATCGAAAGCGATAACAAGCGGAGAGAGAAGGGAAGCGAACTCCAAAGCGAGTTAGCAAGCAATATCGGAACATGGAAAGCGATAACAAGCGGAGAGAGAAGGGAAGCGAACTCCAAGCGAATTAGCAAGAATTTGGCAGCAATATCGGATCAACGGAACACAGCTTGATACATATAAACACCGTTCGCCTCAGCTCACAATCTCTACAATTGTAATGGCCTCCAAGACAGCTCTCCTGATTGTAGACCTGCAGGAAGATTTCTGCCCGCCGGTACTGGTTTTTCCTCGCAGTTTGCCATGTTCATGATGACGAAATCCGACGCAGAACGGAGCTTTGGCCGTTGCGGGCGGACGCGATATCGTTCCAATCATCAACGGGCTACTTGCGTCGCCGAAATTCGACGTGAGAGTAGCGACGAGAGACTGGCACCCGGCAGACCATATTTCTTTCGCTGCCAACCACCCCGAACCAGATAATCGACCCTTCGAAAGCTTCGTCACGATCGCAAACCCGTATAATCCCTCCGAGAGTTATGAGACGCGGCTTTGGCCCGTGCATTGTGTTCAAGACACCCCAGGGGCACAGTTTGTCCCGGATCTTGAAACGACGAGGCTCGACAGGGTTTTCGATAAGGGACAGGACAAGAGGGTGGAGATGTATTCCGCATTTGGGGACCTCTTCGAGAATCCGCGGGTTGCTCAGAGCGGGCTGCAGGAATACTTGAAGGGAAAGGGAGTTGGCAAGGTATTCGTCGTCGGGCTCGCTCTGGACTACTGTATCAAGGCTACCGCTGAACATGCAGTTATGGAGGGGTTTGCAACCTTCGTAGTCGAGGACGCAATTAAAGCGATTGATCCAGGCGTGTGGACGAGCGCGAAGGCGGAGATGGAGGGTAAAGGGATTAGATTTGTTGCATCGCAAGATTTAAAGTTGCCTTAGAGGATATGTACATGTCATTGAAACATTGGTGTACAATACTGCGAAATAGTTGGTTTCGCACTCTGAAAGAAATTTATAAGTGAGTTTTTGTCGAAGCCGGATAGGAGGAGGAGGAGGAGGAGGAGGATGTATTACTGCAGCGGTCCCATCAGGAAACAAGCAGGCTCTGTACCTACGTACAACACGTCCGTATGTACGTTACAGACATCGGGAGCCCTAGCGCTTTGATAGCCTACAAGTATAGACGTCTCACGAATAGACCGAACCGACGGGTGAGCCGATTATCCAGGAACCCTGTAAACCACGGGGAAGAAACGGGGCGCAGAGTCTATATTCGCGCGGTACTTTATCCTTGTACCGTGCGGAGTAGCGGAGCCGTTCCACGCTGAGATTGTGATCCCCGAGGTACAGGCCGGTCAGCGCTTTGCGATGCGCGGGAACGACAACCAAGCTCAAGTAATGCCGCAGGTGGCGAGTGACCAAGTTTAACGAGTTGCCTTCCCTGGGTTCGAGCCTATTGCGTAACAGGTGAGTTTTGACCAAGTTATCGATGTCGAACTGCAGGTCCGCATCCACGATGTCCATAATGCGGATTATGAGGGAGTCGATGAAATCCACGGAGAGCAAGTCATCTGGTGAAACTTCAATTGGCATCGGTAAGCGTCGCAGCATTACCACCAAATCTGAAGCCCACCCAGCTTGTAGGAGCGAGAGGATAGGCGCATCCAGAAACGTCAGCCTCTGAATCGGAAAGGAAATCAGAATATAAGAGGGGCTTTGAACACAGGGGGGGGGGGACTACTAGTAGTACTCACCCGTTCGCAATGAACTACAATGTACGGATTCAAATCCAGTGTAGGTGTGATTTCCGGATGCTTAGGTCCATGCCCAAATCCGAATGCGCCTTCCAGCGCTCTCGAATAGTGGGGCTGGGATATGCGCCTTCTTTTCCGAGCTGAAGGGATCACGTGAGCGGTGTGTTCGATTTTCGCGTGCTCAGCATGTCAGTGATGTTCTCGAACATCATTGGCGCCGACTGTGTTGCCAAGAATCTGAAGGACAATGTCTGCAGGTGTGCAAGAATAGGAGGAGAGTTTCCACAGTGAAGTTGCGCGGGCCGATACTGCCCCGGATTTCAAGCCTCGCGAGCCCAGGGAGTGATATAAAATCCAGGACATCGACCGTTTTTAGAGATAGATGTTGGGGAGATGTGGGGCGGGAGTGGCGGCGCTTCGGTATCCAAGGGAATTGCGCGAAAGGTATTTACCACGCAGTGGACAAGCTTTGAGGTTTGTCTCAGCAGGTGCAGAAACGCTGTGACCGTAAGCCGCTCGTAGCATTCAAAGCTCTGCCAGGGTAGAGCGACATCGTACGGCCAAAGTTCACGCCCCAGATGAACCTGATGTAACATCGGAGCAGATTGAGAGAGCACTAAGGGAAGCTCAGCTTTGGGACTGGCCATGCTGAGGCGCTCGAGTAGTGGGAAAGAATCAGAGAAGAGGGCAGTGATAGGCCGCACTTGTCGCGAAACTTCGTCAAGTGCCGGTTGAGACACTTGACAAGAAGTCCGTCCAATTTAGTGCTGTGGCAGACGAGGGTGGTTGCTTACGGATGGGTTTTTGCACGAGCAACCCAAGTGTCGAGGAGGGAAATGTATTTTTCAATGTGACAGTTTCCACTGGCAGGAGAATAACATTCGCATGTTATGCAGAACACGGTCCAAATTCTTGGTGTGTTCAGGGCGACTGCCCGCCATTCCTTGAAAACATGGGTGAGAACGATGGGCGCCTCGTTTGGGCGAGGCAAGGGAGGCGCCTCGTCAAGAAGACAATCGACGAAGATTTTGGGTTTGAATGGCAATGGCGGTTTGCTGCAAAACCACGTTTGATCGGAACTTCGGGCCGTTGCTGTCAATGTGGCTGTGCTCCGACTCCATCCTTTGCAGTCTCCAGCGGACGCTCTGAACCCTGCGTCGAATGATAATAGGTTCCAATGGCTGCTACAGTAGCATATTCCGATCCTCGGTCAGTTCAACTCAGGTTGTTTGTCAGCTCCTGACATACCGTCAATTACTGGACAATTGCCGGGCGCGCGGCTATTGCTATCATTGGGCTTGGGTGCTTCCCAGTCCTGACTTCCTTGAGTTTACGGCGTCTTCCCTCAGGCTGAACTAATTATTTTGTGCTCTTTCCCCTAGGTCCTTCAGCAAACGAGGAACGACGAGGCAATTCCTTATACGTAGCACTGTGCCGCGGCCAATTCGTTCATGCGGCACTGTTTGAGCACTCTGCCGAAGGGATTCGTCCCCTCGGCGCATACGGAGTCGGCGGTTCCGTGGATGCCGATTGGGAGCTTGCAGAGTCCGAAATCCCGCAAGGAAGAGCCCAAATTTCCAATCGTTTAAATACAGCAGCGGAAGGAAGGTCGAACATCCAGTTCAATCTACTTCCTCGAAATGTCCGCCCCTCAAATGCAATACGGTTCGCCTCCATCGAATGCGCAAATAACTCTGCAGCTGACCCTGGGTACCTCCATCTTCAGTGCGCCTCGGCCAATCAGGCCTGAAAATCTCGAAAATTATCCTCGGGTGCATGACCTACGGGCATCCCGAGTGGTCCGGCAACTGGGTCCTCGCGGAGGAGGAGGCCTCGAAGCACATCAAGGCTGCGTGCGTCATTATGCCCATTCTTTGCTGTTCTTCTTTTTCACTGCGTCGACTCCAGTTATGACTACGGCATCAATGCGTTTGACACGGCTAATGTATGCATGCCATTGGAATGTGGAAGGAATTCGAACTGAAACACACTTGAACTAGGTATACTCTAATGGAATTTCTGAGGAAATCCTTGGGCGCTCGATCAAGAAGCACCGACTGCCAGCGCGACGAAATCGTCGTGATGACCAAGCTGTGCGGTGCCGTCTCGCGCAATCCGAAGGAAGGACTATAAGGGCGTACGGATCTGGACAGCAGCGGCTATGTGAATCAGTACGAGCTGAGCCGCAAGGTATTTATTTGCTTGGTTCGCGAATTTCTGTCCACTGACGCCCTGTGGAACTTACTTAGCAATGCTAAGTATGCTAAGTTAGCATATCTTCGACTCTGTGAAGCACAGCCTGCGGCGCCTGGACCTCGAGTATATCGATCTGCTGCAGTGTGAGTTTATTTCCCAGTGTTATTTGGCTCTTTCACCCATCAGACTAGGCCATCGATTTGACCCCAATACGCCCATTTCGGAAACGGCGCGTCCACTTCCCATTTTTACGCGCCGATTTCAAGAACTCAACTTATATCACAACAGATGCAAACCCTCCACGACGTCGTCAAGGCCGGATACGTTCGCTACATCGGGATGTCCTCGTGTTATGCCTACCAATGTGCGCACTATCGTTGAGCGAGGTGCATTCGCCGATACTGATCATTACGTGTCTACTCGCCCAGTCCACGCTATGCAGAGTATTATATTCGCTCCTTAGTTTGATGGCTCCAGCTGACCATCAACTTTAGACTACGCGATCACCAACGGCTTGACGCCCTTCATATCCATGCAGAACCAGTACTCGCTCGTCTACCGCGAAGAGGAGCGGGAGATGATGCCGTTGTTGGACGTGGGTCTAGAGACGATTATATTGTTCCTCATAGCTGATTGGCATAATGAACAGATGTTCGGGGTCGGTTCCATCCCATGGTCGCCGCTTGCCCGTGGCGCGCTTTCGCGCCCCCTCGCGAAGCAGACGGATACGAACCGCGGGAGCTCCGACGTGTGCGTCCATGTCCTCGCAGCAGAGCTCCAGCACTGACTCACGGAATACATTCCTAGGCTGCCGTCCACCTTCTATGTCTCTTCTGACGCGAACAAGGAGGTGGTGAGAAGGCGAGGATCTCAATACCCGTGTAATGCGCCGCTGTTGATACTTACTTACTTATAGAGCCGAACAAGTCGCGGCGAAACGCGGTATCAGCATGGCGCAGGTTTCCGTCGCGTGGGTTTTGTCTAAGAAAAGTCGGTATTTTTATTTTTATTTTTCTGGTTCGTTGCGCATTGGCACTCACAACGAAACCAGCTGTCTCCGCACCGATTGTCGGCACTTCCTCCCTCGAGAATCTCAGGGATATAGTTGGTAAGTTCCTCCTGATTTTTTTTTTCGAGAAGTCAGGGTGAGTCTGAGATATTTATTTATCTTTCAGGCGTGATTGATGTAAAACTCACTGAGGAGGAGATCAAGCTCTTGGAGGAGCCCTACCGGCCCATGGCGATCTTTGGGCATTAGATGAGGCGTTCTCTGATTTATACAGAGTCGGTTGCAGTTTGGATTGAACAGGAACTTGTGTGAGGGCCGTGGAAGGCCTGCAGCGTGTATCACGCAGTTCAATTTGACCTCAAGTGTAGGTAGAAGTTTGTTTGTTTGGGTCCAAAGTGGAACATGATCTGGTGGTGTAATGGTTAACACACCTGCTGGAAGTCCAGACTACATGTGAAACCGTACATAGGAGATCTCTGTTCAATTCAGGGCTAGGTCATTCTTTTCTGTTCCATCAAATTCGATTTTTTGATCCAGCCAAGTGTGGGTTGAAGTCCATTTGGATTGGAAGGAATAGGGCCTGGTGGTGTAATGGGTAACATACTTGCATGTTGTGGCCGTTAGCGAAATCGTTTTGCGGGAGATCCTTGTTCAATTCAGGGCTAGGTCATTTTTTTTTTTTGATCCATCATATTCGATTTTTTGATCCACCCAACAATCCATTTGACTTTACAAGGGAGTGTGATCTGGTGGTGTAGTGGATAACGTGCCTGCATTTTGTACATATTCCTCGCCGATACTTTTGCAGGAGATCCCTGTTCAACTCAGGGCTTAGGCCATTACTTTTTTCCCGCTGTTGAATTACATTTTTAGTTCTAACGAAGTGTGGGTTGAAGTTCATCTGGTTTGGGGATAAAATATGACCTACTGGTGTAGCGGTAACATGCCTTGTTTACTGTATTTCCAGTACTTCTAGCAGCATTGTAGGAGATCCCTTATTGACTCAGAGGTATGTAGGTCATTCTTTTGTTTTCTGGAACTGTATTTTGAACCATTTATGTTTGCATGAAAATTCTTTTGATTTTGGAAGGAAGATAGACCTGGTGGTGTAATGGTTAACACACCGGCATGCTGTCTGTTTGAATTAATAAACCTATGTGGGAGATCCCTGTTTGAATCAGGGCTGGGTCATGACTTTTTTTCTGTCATTGTATTTTGAATCACTGAAGTGTCGGTGGAGGTTTATTTGGCTTTACAAAAGAATACGATCCGGTGGTGTGTTGGTTAACGCGCCTGCATAGCATTACTGTTTCATATGGTGTTCTGTGGGAGATCCCTGTTCAACTCGGGGTTGGGTCATTGTTTTTCTTTATTAGAATTTTGAACTTGAATGCTCTGAACTTTTAGTTTCTGATATCGAAAATAACACAGTGTAAATCACGGCAAATACTACTCAGAACATTGACAGCCATTCAGCTAACATAGTTCAACTTTGCGTCGGAAGATGCCGGATCAAGCCGAACCCGTAATTGTTTGCTGTCACGATCACGATCACGCGTCTGTCCACCAACTCTCCTCTCCTCCGCCACCATGCCCGCTTCGCGGTCGCACCCCCCGAAGCAGCGCACGACCATCGTCATCGAGACCATAGGCGGCGCTCCCGTCTTCCACATCCCCGTCCCTCTCAACATCGTCTCGCGCGCCCCGCCAGGCGGCGCAGTCAAATTCGTCTTCCGCAACATCGGGGGAACCCCGACGTTCCACGTCGGCGGGGCGGAGGTGGGCGTGGGAGACGAGGATGCGTGGGATTTGGGGAGGGTGGTGAGGGCCGTGGGGGAGCGGAGGGTGAAGATTGAGGAGGAGGAGCAGAGGTTGTGGATAGATAGTGGGAATGGGGGCGCGGGTAGCGGGGATGTGCGGGTGTGGGTGAAGGAGGAGGAGGGTGAGGTAAGGATTCCGGGGAGGGATAAGGGGAAGGGGAGGGAACGCGATTTGGGTGAGTAGCAGCCCCTCCCGCCCCCTCACCCCCTTACCGCCGAAGAGCGCCTCGCATTCGCCCGCGCGTCGCTCACCTCCTCAAATTTCCCCGCAGTATTCTACGATGGCCGGCGAGAGTTCGCGCTTGAATGCGCGCCCGCGCTGCCTGCGGACCGGGCGCTCAGCGCGCGCGAGGAGAAGGAGTACGATAGGCTCTGGGACGCGCTGTTGCGGATGGAAAGGGTGGCGGGGGCGCAGATGGGTGAGTTCAATTCGAATTGTTATTCAAAGCGTGAAGGATGGCTGACGACCCGTAATAGACGTGGACACGCTGCGCCAGCGCACGGGGGAGATGATGTCGGAGGCGGTGGCGCGCGTGCATGCCGCGCTGGGTACGTCGTGGCGCTGTAAATGGCCCCTTTTCCTGACAATGCGTATTTTTTTTTTTCAGATGTAGGTGGCAGCAGCACCTCCAATTCGAATTCGAATTCCACCTCCAATTCTTCCGGCTCGGGGTCGGGGTCGAGGATGCATCCTCATACTACTACTCCCGGTACGCGCTTTCGCCTTTATTATTTTTTTATTGTATTGCATACGACCTAACTAACCTCTTCCACCCGCAGCACCGGACGGCGGCGCGCAGGATGTTGTCGCCAACACTATGCAGGAGCTCGTGGACATCGACAGCGCAGCGGACGATGTCCTCCAGAGCATGGCGCAGGAGGTCGCGGACAGCGTCACGCGAGACGTCGTCGACCTCGTTGGGCGCGATATGGAGGCGCGGGACCTCGTGGGCGTCGCGACGCGGGACCGCGTGGACGTCGCGGCGCAGCTTGCGGGGAAGGGCGCCGCAGCGCCCGACATGGGCATCCCGAAGCCCGACCTGGGCATCACGACGCGCGACATGAGCAATGGCATCGCGGGACAAGACGTCGTGGACCTCGTGCGCACCGGCCTCGGGTCCCTGCGCGCCGCGCTCGTCGCTGCCTCGACCTCCAACTCCAACTCCAACTCGACCTCCCACTCGGCCTCAACGTCGATTGCGAGCTCGCCGTCGACCGCTGCGGTGGCAAGGCGGACGCGGGCGCGGGCGCGCGGTGCGGACGTCCAACACCAGTCGCATGCGCGCACGGCGCTCGCGTCGGGGAGCGGCAGCGGTGGTATCGGTGCTGCTGTCGGGGATAATACTACGGACGCGCGGCGAGGTAGGTTATCTATTCTTCCGGTACGCTTTGCATGAAAGGTGCTGACTGGTGCGCGCGCGCAGATTCGGGCCATGAGCAGGGCAGGCACGAACAGCGGCGGCGCCTGGGGGGAGGTGCGTTTGCTTTCGGTTTCGTTCGTCTGTGCTTTTTTTTGGGAGCGTTTTTTTGGGGGTGGGGGGCCTCTTCTTGGTGGAGGCGGACCCGTCTGATCGCCTTCCGTGTCTTATCCCGCCCATCCCTCGTCGACCGGTCTTTGCCCTGACCTCGACGTCGTCCCCGTCGTCATCGATGGCTGCGTGCGCGCGCCCTGTTTTTCCTTGAGACGCTCCGCGTGCTCCTTTCTTTCTTGCTTTTATTTATATTTCTTCGTTTCTCGCTTCCATGTTTTTCGTTTTTGGCTTTCGGACCCGGGTCTCCCTTGCGGCCGCCCTCCGCTGCGCGCCCCGTCGGTCAGTCGCTGGGAGGTGGTTGACGATGGATGCGCCGTTCCCTCCGCACCCAATCCGTCGAGCGCTGGGAGGCGGCTGACGATGGGAGACGAGGTGCTTGTGCCCTTCTCCGCCCTTGCTGCGGGGCATACACCCTCCACCCTCGCTGCGGCGCATGCGCCCTCCGCTCCGCTCGCACCTGTCCCTGGCATGATCCGCCGTCGGTCGGGCGCTGGGAGGCGAGGGGGCCGACACAGGTACGGCGCCGGGCGGACACCAGACAGATCTGGCGCATCCAGCGCCGGACGAGAGAGCGCCGGCGCTGGGAGGTCGCTTGCTCCCGAGTGCGCTGGAGTATGCAGTGTGGTTCGCTGGGGCTCGTACCGCCGAGGAGAGAGGGAAAGCAGGCGCACTGTGACCGGGACGGGCGGGGCGCTGCATGCAATGCACGGCATGCCTGCCCTTCGCGCATGCGGGACGTGCCGGTCTTTTGCGCGTCCGCGACTCGCCGGGGGTCGGCGTACCACTTGTTTCGATGCACACATCCTCTGAACGCGCATCTGGAAGGTGTAGTTGGGCCTGCATGCGCGCCCCAAGCGGGAGACGCGGTTCTGCGTGTGCCTGGCGCGGTGTGGCGCATCCTTGGGCAGTGCACGGCCACATATACCGCCGTGCTTCTTTGCCCAGAGGCAGACGTGCTTAGCGTGCAGGCGCACGCCGTGTAGGTTTCCACGCGACGTTGTTTATTATGCGCGCGCGCGCTCGGTCGGGGGGCAGCCATTCTCGTCAGTGGCTGTAACGACGCGCGCGGTGTGGATGTACCCCTGCGCTTGCTTTTGGCGCGTTCTGGGGGCGGCTGACATGCGGCTCGTCGGGTGGCTGACGAGCGCTGTCTGTGCTCCTGCGGCGAGTGTGCGGAGCGCGTTCGTGCTCTGGAGACTCGTTGGGTGGCTGGCGAGCGCCACATGTGCTCCTGCGGCGAGTGGCTGGCTGGCTATTGTGCGGAACGCGTTAGTGCTGGAGGCTCGTTGGGTGGCTTTGCGCGTACTTGCTATGCCCGTACCACTCGTGGCTGACCCGTCGCGGTTTGGTGGCTTCTCGCATGGGTGGTGCGCGTTTGGGCTTGGCGGCTCGACGGGACCTCCGGGATTCGTATCTCGGTGGCTTATCGCTCGTCCGTTCTGGACAGTACCTGATGGGCGGGATCAAATGAGATCCCAAGTCATGGAGTGACATTTAGGCGCAGAGTCACACGTGTGACCATATTTCCGAAGCGTAAAACGTCGAATGGACAAGAGTTTGGGACAACAAAGAAAAAGTCAAGTCGAGGTACACCTCTATATGAAGAGCTGGGTACCGCTTTTATATCAAAAAAGTACCACCTCAACATGGTCTTAGCTCAACTTCCCTGACAACTGATGGCACCGCACAAAAGGCAAAGACCACAAGTGCCAGAGTTCAAAATATTTTTCGAATACTTCTAAAATATCTAATATGCTCTTGTATCAATGGCTGAAGACAATTTTTGTCAAAAAGCATTCAGTTATATGCCAAACTGAGCTATCCCTAGGTTCAAAGCAAGTCTGCTCCGTCCCAGCAAGCCGGCCCTTCGCTGACGGAAGCGTGTTTGGCTTGTTTGGTCTCAGCGGTATGTCAGCGGCATGTCCGGCACCGCGCGGCCTCGTGCTTGAACCAGATCTTTGGGCTTATGGTTTATGTCTCGAGGAATTGAAGTTTTTCAAGTTGAGAAAAAGAGAGAAAAAGAGGGAAAAGAGAGGGAATTTGTTACCTGAATCCAAGGTTTTTTTCGCGGTCCGCCGGCTCCAGTAAGCAGAGAAAGAAAAGAAGATAAGAAATCAAGTTGATTGATTAAAGCGCCGGCACGGCGATTCAAGTTTATCCCTCCCGGGGTTAAAAGCCGAATTCCCACTACCTTTAGGTATGGGTTTCTATAGGGCGCCCTATCAACCAGGTTTTGGCAGTAAATCACATTTTGGTCATTTCTCATCACGTCAGCAGCTTTTCTCCCTGCCAAAATACTTCGGCATCGGAAACGGCTAAGCGTAATGCCGAAATATGCCGTGGAGCACCGTCAACTGGCTTACGGTGCACCCCTATTTCCTGAGAGAAGTGGGTTCCCCCAGCAAAAACCTAAGCTAATACAAGCAAAACAAAGCTAAAAGAAGACTTTAGATGAAGCTGGTCAGTGTTGGGTCATGGGAGCGCCTAAGACTCGGAGACAACCGATACATATAAGTAGAGCATTTTAATTCAGACGCCAATCCGACGCCGTTAAGTCTTTTGACCTTCACAGCTCCTAGATCAACAGGGATTTCAGAAAGTTTATGCAGTGTCTTCTAGTTCTAGATGTATAGGCTAATAAGTTGGTTATAATTCTAAATTTGAATGCAGAAAAATAAACCGGGGAGCTTACGAGGAGCTCGCTCCGAACTTATGTATGTCCGGACTCGACGATAATCGGATATCAATTTCAACTTTATTGTACTGCACAAGCTTTGGGGCCCAATTCGAGCTGCTCGACGCAGGCATTTGGACGCCCCAGAGATTAAACGAGCAGTGT